ACTAAAATCAACTTTGTTTGATATGCTGTAATGACCTAAAATTTGCTCAACTGTGTTTTAAAGCAGACATATAGCAATAGTTGTGATAAAACAAAAAGAGCATAGACTTTGAAATTAGTGATCTGGGTTGGAATCCCAGTCTTGCCACTTAAGACATAGTATGTGGTAAAATATAAAAGGATATTTTACCACATACTTTTCTTTTCCAAAGAAAAGTTCCCATCCCCATCTTCCAACTAGCAATCTTACTCTGCCGGAACAATCTTCCTCCATATCCTTTTAATAGTATGCTAGGCATATGCAAATTTCTCTTTTCATACATAAATGAAATCATCTCATAAATAATGGCTGCACCCTAATTTATTCAATTTAAATGTATCTTAGTGATCATTCTATATTGGCATATATGGATCATTATGCTTTAATTAATCCATCTCCTACTATTGGACATTTTGTTTTCAGACTTTAATACCCTTATTTGTAAAAATTTAAAAATTAAGATTTATTTGTGTTTATGCAAATGTCTATAAAAATTAAAGAAATGAAATTGAAGATTAAAGAATGTATATTTGTGAATGTGGCAGACATTGTCAAATTACCTCAGAAAAGTGTCTTACTATGCCCAATGCAGTGGCGCATGCCTGTAATCCCAATGGTTCAGGAGGCTGAGGCAGGTGGATCACAAGCTCAAAGCCAGCCTCAGTAACTTCACAAGGCCCTAAGCAACTTTGCAAATACCCTGTCTTTAAATAAAAGATAAAAAAAGGACTGGGGATGTGGCTTACTGGTTAAGCACCACTGGGTTCAATCACTGACACCCCCCCAAAAAATAAATAAATAAAAGTTGTGTTTACGTTACTGAAATGAAAACTTGTAGGACAACTGAAGTAGATCAACCCCAACGTAAATCAATCCTCTCCACCTCAAATCAAAGAGGCACTGCATTCAAAGTATAGTCAAATAACAAACATTATATCAATGAGCATGTTTTCAGTGTAATTTCAAAACCCACATTTTATCATCAAGTCTCACAATATTTAAGATCTTTCTCAATTTTTCAGTTCATTAAATTTAGTTCTAACCTAAAAATACTAAAGTATCAATCAAGACTTTTTAAAAAAATTATTTTTAGTTGTAGACAGACACAATACCTTTATTTTATTTATTTATTTTTATGTGGCACTGAGGATCAAACCCAGCACCTCACAAGTGCTTTACCACTGAGCCACAACCCCAGCCCTAATCAATACTTTCAATAAAGGCATCAACAAACATTTTAGAGATCATCCCTAACATTCTTGTTTGGAAAATAGTGCAATTTTAATTTTTGAGAGTAATAAGGTCTGTGTTCCTAGATTAATACCCCTATTTTGCTTCCTTGTATAGTGTCACAATGGCTTGAAATGTCTTACTGCATTTTTTAACTACTCAAATGGAACCACCTTACAATGTGTGAGCCAAGTAACAGCAGAGAGCTTCATGTTCCCAGATGATTTTTTTTAAGTATTTGTTGCAGTTGGATACAATACTTTTATTTTATTTATCTTATTTATATGTCATGCTGAGGATTGAACCCAGGTCCTCAAACATGCTAGGTGAGCACTCTACCACTGAGCCACAACCCTCCCCCATGTTTTATACAAGGAAAAATAGAAAATACTATCTTTCCTTTACACTCACTTCCTTTTCCTTTTCTTAGAATAAGAAGTTTAAAATAAATAACAGAGTTACTATTTATTCAAAATTTCACTCTCTTTGAGGGTCAAACTTAAATTTTACTTTCTCTACGAGGGTCATTTCATTTCTACAATCACCAATTATTTTTCTTTAAGAATGTAAACATTACCATAGAAGTCTACTCTATAATTCTTTCTTGTATGAGTTTTGCCTCTTAGCTCTGATGTGCATTAAACTTTTAGATCCCTATAATCTTAAAATGATCACAGTTTAATAAATAAGCCAATGTAAAATTGTGTCACTGTGCTAGACAAGGAAAATATTGAACTAAATTTTCATAGAAAATAATAGTTTTAAAAACACTAGAAAGTCACAGGCAAAAAAAAAATGACAGTTATGCAATAAACATATTTAGAAATGTCAATGGTATAGGCAATAGTGGAAACTCTCATTCAGCTAATACAAGTGAACCAATAATTTTAGAAATATTCTGTTGATATTTTCTCTTAGAAGGTAGAAGTGAACCTAATAATTTTAGAAATATTCTGTTGATATTTTCTCTTAGAAGGTAGAAGCAGCACTAAACTCATCTCAACCTAACACAGAGGAATATCTTTGTAAAATGGAAAAGATGGGAACCCTGGAAAAAAAGCAATCATGACATCTTAGCATTGGGGATATTAAGAAAAGTAATGCTGATTATAGTGAGATATGTACTCTGAAAGAGCTGAAAAAGATAAGCTCATGAGAGAGAAAATATAAATGAAAGAAGATGATTTAAGAAAGCTCCAAGCTCACAAGTGAAATTATTACATTCAGTTATGATAGTCATCAAGTTGAATAAAAAAGAGCTAAAGGCTATGATGGAAGTGGTACAATTAAAGAATCAAGCAACTAAGTCTGAGGAGTGTATGAAGCATTTATGAAGGTGACACCTGAGCTGGGTCTTGATGAAGGAGCAAGAGTTTGTCAGGTTAAGAATCATTAGATAATTTAGAAATTTAAAAGAAAAAATAGCTACATAACTATTTTGTTACACTGCTGTTTGTCACATTTTATAGTCTTAAAAGAAAAGTTGGCAGTAAGAAAATCTCTTCCTGGTACCTGCCTGTGATCCCAACTACTGAGGCAGGAGGATCACAAGTTTGAGGCTATCCTTGGTATTTGGGTGAAACCCTGTTTCAAAATATAAAAATTTAAAAAGATCAGGGGATATAGCTCAGGTGTAGAGTGTCCCTGGGTTCAATCTGGAAAGGAAAGAGAAGAAAAGGAAAAGAAAATCTCTCCACGGAAGGGGGTTATTCTTTCAAGTAAGAAAGTTACACCTACTGAGAAAACTACTTATCCAAAAGGGAAATGTGTTTGTTTACCTTGATAGAAAATGTACTCTGCCTTTCCACTAAGTTTAGCAATTAAAGTCTCTGGAATCATTCAAAAGTATACAGATAAAAATCAATCTGCCATCATGTATAAAAAATCAGAATAAATAAAAAAATAAAACAGGCTACAGTTTTAAAATTGAATATTACATTAGAAAATATATGTGTGTGTATACACACACACACACACACACACACACACATACATCTGCATTTGCTAGTAAATTCCAGATGACTTCACATAAAACACTACAATAGCTCACAGTATCAGTGGGGGGTAAAAAATTGAAGATGCCTCTCAAAAGGAGGATATTGGTAATCTTAATGTACATCCTTGATAGTAAAGTTTTCAAGCTATCAAAAATGCCTACAAATAAGTGATGAAGTGGGTATAGGACTAAATGCTACTAAAATGACTCCAAGGTAAAAAAGTGAATTCCTATTTAAAGCAGTGAAAAAAAGCCCGCGTGGTGGTAGGATGGTCAGACAGACTGCAGGCGTCCTGCTTCTCAGTTTTCCTGTAATTCTGAACACTAATCATCACTGAAATGAAGGCACTGAAATTGAATTATATTGACTTTAATTAAACAGAACAAATTTTATGCAGCAGAAAAACCAATTTTTGAGAAAGATAACTATCTCAATGATAACAGGTCTTACATTTATCTGACTTCACTGAGACAGCAACAGTATTTCCTATTCTCTTTTGACTTTGAACCAAAGAATTGCTGCAGGCAATTTGAGAAACACTATTTCCTGATAGGCGTGATTCAAGAGACTGGAGAAAAAGGAAAAACACTTGGAACAATTAAGACAGTTTACAAGGTAGCCTTCCCTGGAGTGTCGTAATAAGCCAGTTAACTGGAAACTCTTGATATTTTACAGATTGTGACACCACACCAGACAAAGATTGGAGGCAGTCAAAGGGAACAGTCATTGCTGGATCCCATTGCTTCCAACACAAAAGGAACCCTCTCCGCTCAGGTCGCCCAACATTCTCTCGCTCCCTAAAACGTCCATATCCTCAACCTGGCACCAGCCTAGAAACACCCGTCTCCCTGCAGTAAGTCTTCACAACCCCACAACCCTGCGGGCCTGTGACAGGCTGAGTCCACTTACTAAGCTGTCCCCCGCCCGACGTCGTACTCGGCTCCCGACCTCCAGCGCCTCCGACGCCGGCTGCTCCCGGGATCCCAGGCGGCCCCATCCCGGGCGGGGTCCCGCTCTGCCTCTCGAAGTTGCCCGGGTTTGAGAAGTAGTCGCGCAGCCGAGGCAGCTCGCGGCCGCTCTCTAACAGCTCGGTGTGCAGCTCCAGAGCAGTCAGCAAGTATTGGTCGCGCAGCAGCTGAGCCGCGATGGCATCGATTGACAAGCGGGCTGGGGTCTCCCCTGTCCCTCCCAGGGCCATCGCAGGCACCGACGCCTCCCCAGGGAGCCCTGGCCGCGTACTGCTCCCTAAGGCCACGGGATCCTGTGGCGACAGCGAGCCCGCAGACCCAGGATCTAGGTCACCGCCAGCACTCAGCCGAAGTCCTGCCCGCCGTTCTTCGGTCGCAGCTACCTCGTCGTCGTCCTCATCCGAATCGCTAAGGAATGGATTCACGCCGCCGCCGCCACTGCCACTACCTCCAGGCGCCATCGCCGCCATTTTATCCTGTCAGGAGTGTGGGCGCCTCCCTGACTGGCTCCGACAGGCCGCAGCCTGAATCCCTCCTAAAGCTCGGCAGGCACTGAGCACCTACACAGCCCGGGCCTGACTACGTCCGTCCTCCCTACTTAGAGACCAGGCGTAACCTCGGAGATAAGCAATCCGGATGCAGCAGCACTCGCTGCACCAGCAGCCGGCTCTGCAGGCGTCTTCCTGGTCCCCAGTCTCGCGAGAACTGGTTCGTGCCCTGCCCTCTCCCCGCCCCAGCCCCGCCCATTCTCGGCGCCAGAACTCGAAGATCCAAGGACCCGCTCCCGGCTCAAAAGCAAAACTCCTCCCACAACTTCTCCATGATTGGTTGGATTTATAGGGGGCCTGCCCAGGAGTTATCGCGAGAACAGCTGCGGCCCGGGAAGTGTTGGGCGTTCCGTGCTTCAGGGGCGAACGCGGAGGTGGTAGCGGGGTATCCACTGGGATATCGTTTGAAGGGGCTGTGGGAAACCCTGCGCGAGGGCTTTAAGGACTCTGAGTCCTGCCTTCGCGCCGAGGAGGCCTCGTTCCTGAGTTCAGGTCTGACCTGCATAAGCCCCAGGTAAAGTCCTGGGTTCTGGGCGCCGAGGTGCGGCGGCGCTGAAACGGGGTCCTCTTGCCCGCGGACCGCTGTTCGCTCAGTGGGTTCACTTCTTCCCGCCGTTTACTGGCAGTCGGTGGCATCTTCTCTGCATGGACAGAAAGAACCCAGGTGTAGTCAGATTTTGCCTTCCTTCCTGTTGCTTACGTTCCCCAACGTGTTCACCTGGGCCAGCAGCCGCAGTCTTCTCGCGTCGCCCTGTAAAGGTGTGGGGTGCAGGGACTGAAGGGAAAACGGAACGCAGAGGATTGCACCTGCCTGCATCTGTGAACAGCCTGGGCTTGGACAACGAACTGTTAGTGCTCAGTAAACATTTAGGATTTCATGCATAAAGTGTACAACAGGGACTCCTCAGAATATCCAGTGCTGTCGCTTCCATAGAGCAGTGAATAAACTTAAGCCTAGAGGGTCAATGTTCTTCTATTAATATTCAAGCTTCATTAATAGATCTTCAAAATAGCTAAGAGCCTTTGTCTTATGTCCAAAGCTTTTCTCTCACAATGCCCTTTATCCTTTCTGACTCCTTCGTGCAGGCTAGAATCAAGGTTTTGACAGTTGTATGTAGTAGAGAGTTTTGATTTCCTTTGTGAAGCGTTACTACTTCATGTATATTCCTAAGTTTGAAAGACTAGTGTTTTATCTTTTCTGTCATTCCTTGGTTACAGTCTGAGATGGTAAAGGAATGTTTTCCAGTCAACTGTATTAGACTGATATTCCTGGTAGCTTCTGTTTCCTTCACACACAAATTGTCATTTTGCAGGTTTTAGATTTCTTGCTGTACAGCTTCCAGCAAAATATTTATTCCACCAAAATAAATAGGCAACAGTAATTATGACTATCAGGTAGGTTACCTGTTACATTGAAACAGTAAAGCATCTCCTTTAGCCCTGTGGAAAAATAAAAATAGAGCATTCGTATATAACCTTAGGTCAGGTTATTGGTTTACATGTGAAGGTATGCCAACCCTTAAGGGTAGGATTTAATTTCAGTTTACCCAGGCTCAGTAAACTAACCTTTTCATTTGAATGAGACTTTGGGATTTTTTTTCCCTTTGTTTTTGGCTAGAAGCTTTAAGAATAGTTTAGTACTAAGAATTCCAAGTATTTTTTAAGATATTAACTCCTGATTTCCTAATACTAAATATTTTTCTGAGCCATATACTGAAAAAAAATCCCTGATATCAGGAACACAGTATAAAAATGGCCAGTATTGTATCCTGTTACTTATTTCTTAGGATTGCTGATTCTTATTTTAATTGCATTTGCCAGAGAGATTAAAATTTGAACCAATTTCCGGAATGTAGGAATGGAGAATTAGTCAATGGCGTGGGAAGTGCCTGATTAGAAACTGTTCACATACAATACTTCCATTTCTATAACGGGGAATTTTAGAAATTTTCTACACTCGGGGTTCCTGAAGAGAATTGTGTTTATCAAATAGAAAATCCTAAATTTAAATCTCAATTCCACCCATTATTTAACGTGGGACCTTCAAAAAAGTTAAACCAAACTTCTCTCAGCCTGACTCACATATCTATCAAGATGAATATTGAAAATATGTATGGAGAATTGTGAATGCTCTTGTCACTGGTTTTCAGTAAATGTTGTTACTTTGGTCAGTTATTAATTAATGAAATATTAGTAAATACCAACAATTGTTAAATGTGGGCATTTGAAAGTTTTTAAAAACAAACAATTTTTGGCAACTAAAACTTGGAAAAGTAATTAAGTCAGTAGGACTAAAAGAAGGAATAGTTTTAATTTCAGGTCTGTTTTTAAAGCACAAGTTAAAAATAGATTTGAAATGTTTCCTAAGAGAATTATAAGAAGGTGAATATAGAAATTCTTTCATTACTGATTTCCCATACAAATCTGGTTTCCCGCTTCTGATTCCTATCCTGTAATCATGGATTTGTTTATATGACTGTATAAGCCCTTCACGAATCAACTAGCCAATTTTACAGCAGGTACATTTTCCCTCCTACCACATGTAGAGGTTTACGATAAACTGAAAATATATAATTAGCACACACTGGAATATTAATTTCTGATTTCTATCATAACTTATTATTAATACTGTTGGGAAATTTTCTCTCTACTTAGATTTGCATTAATCTAGGATTTTACAGCTGATGTTTCACTTGAATAATAAGATTAATCATTGAAATTTGTACATTAGCAGTGAAAATTTCTAAGTACTTCGGTCATTTAATGTTAAAAATGATGTTTTAGTTTTAAATGTCCTACAACAACCACAAGTAACATTCTGAATGCAAGTTTTGGTTGATTTAAAGTTTTAGTAATATCAAAAGTTTTATTGTTTGCATTCCACAAGTATAAGCTAGGTAACTTTACTGTTACATGGATATGTCCTTTTATCTTATTTGTTTAAGTTTTTGGTACCAGAGATTGAACCCAGGGCCACTTAACCATTGAGCAACATCTCCAGTCCTTTTTTATTTTGAGACAGGATCTCCCTAAGTTTGCTTAGGGCTTCTCTAAATTGCTGAGACTGGCTTCGAACTTGCAGTTTTCCTGCCTAGGCCTCCAAAGCTGCTGGGATTACAGGCATGTGCCATCCTCTCTAGCTGGGTATGTCCTTTTAAATAATAATTATATATTCATTTTGGAGGTTTCCAAACAATTCATGGCAAACAGCTTTATATTTCAAAAAGTCTGAATCAAATGTGATCCTCTCTAAAGAGAAATATTGTGTAATAATATTGCAATAATAAAACAAGTAGTATGTGAATATTTTTCAGTTGCTTCACTTTTATGTATAATAAATTACTTAAACATAAAATGTTGAGCTTTTTGTTTTGGAAGAACCTTCACAGGTCCGTTTGGGAGGCTCAAAAAGAGGAGCAAGGCATCCTCTAGTGGATATACAGCATATTGCACTTAGCTTTGAAATGGTAATCCTAAACAATTTATTCAGCAACCCTCTGAGTCCTTACTAAGTATTTAGGACTGTGATGGATGCTAATGAAGCCTGGACCTGCTGTCATGGAATTATAGTTAAGTGGCAGAGATAGACATTAATCCAAATAGTCAAAGACACAGTTATATAATTACTAACCAGGTTTTGACTTCTGACTTAAGCCTGTACAATCCCTGAGGAAGTAAGCCTTGAAAGAAGATATTAGGAGACAGTGGAGGGTGGAGGATAGGTTGGTCATTCTATGAAGAGAAATTTTATCTATGAAGGTCTCACAGCATTGGGGAACATGGAATGTTTGAAGAAACTAAAGAAGACTAGTGAGGTGAGATAACCCTAGAGCAATGGAAAGTGCTCTGAAGCAAGGTTAGAAAATGAAGCAGAGACCAGTCCCTGTAAAAACCTTTATAGTGTTGATTAGTAGGGGGAGAGACTAAAGGATTTATACAAGGGGTGAGATGTATAGATTTGCATTTAAAAAGTAATACTATGGCTAATGGCAAGAAATAGATAAGAAAAGAGTCAGTCTCTATGGGGAGAGCTCTGGGAACATTTTTAGTGTGGTTCAGGTGAGAGATGGTATACTTGGAGTGATAGATTTTTCTTTAGGAAGCTGTCAGATAAGCAAATGAAGTAGATATCGATGAGTTACCTAATTTACCATTAGGAAAATCGATATTCAACTGAAAAAATTTTTCTCATATTTAGTATATCAATAGCCTTAAATATGCACATAGGTTTTTTAAAAAATATATTTTTAGTTGTTCATGGACATTTATTTATTTATTTATTTATATGTGGTTCTGAGAATCAAACCCAGTGCCTCACACATGCTAAGCAAGTGCTCTGCCACTGAGCCTCAACCCCAGCCCTGCTCATAGGTTTTTGACTCAGTAACTACATGTATAGGTAGTATCTTAACACTTAATCTGACATATATCAAACATTAGGACATAAAAATTACATATAAATTTAAATTAATCACATTGATAATTTTTAATAGTGAAAAATGGGAAAAACATTTCAGTGCTTATCCATATAGGAGTAATTAGGAAAATGAATAAGCCCCCATTCAATGGAGAATGTTGAGGGTAATTAATATGTTGTAAGAGTTTGATTTTTAGGATATACTTATGTTACCATAGTAATAAATGCATACATCTATATTTATAGCAGTTCAGTTCACAATAGCCAAGTTATGGAACCAGACTCTTTGTCTGTCAGCAGGTGAATTTACAAAATGTGGTGTATGTATATACAATGGAGTTTTATTCGGCCATAAAGAAGAATGAAATTGAGTCATTTGCAGTAAAGTGAATGGAACTGGAGAGCATGATGTTGAAGAAATAAGCCAGACTCAGAAAGTCAAGGATCATATGTTTTCTTTTGTGGAAGTTAGAAAAAAATTTTTTTTAAAAAAGGGACCTAATGAAATTACGAAGGAGACCAGTAGAATTGAGGAAGGGGATCAGGAGGAGGGAAGAGGGGAAGGAAAAGGCTAGGGAATTAAATTGATCAAATTATGTGCATGTGTGAATATGTCACAATAAATTCCACTATTATATATAATCATAATATACCAATAAAAGATATGCTAAGTGTATACCAGGAAAAATCTTCCATTAAAATTATGTGCCTCTGTAAAAATGTGGATAGGATAAAAATTATAAGAAAACAGATTTTTTTTTCAGATGGTAGAATCAGATAATTTTATGTAATTTTCTAAACTTACTGCAATGATTTTATCTTATAAATATTTAGAATAACATTAAAACATGGTGCTTACAATATAGTTGAAGCTCATATATACTAGGAAAGAAGAAAACATTTACTCAAAAGAGTATTGTCATACATGGCAAAATACGATGGTATTTATACTTTGCAGATTACCTTTGATGTTTAATTGTTCTCTTAGGAAAAAAAGTAGCTGGTAGTTGGACTCTTTTTTCTTACATTTTATTTTATTTTTTGAGGTGTTTGTCTTTGATAAGTCCTTTTCCAGTGTCTCTTTTGTTTTTGCAGGATATTTTGCCATCATTTTTTTCCATGATGTGACGATTATTCAGGCCAGGAAGAATAAGATCTTGTCTTTCAGCGCAGGCTCACTATATGTGACTAATGCTGCTTGCTGAAGTAAGACAAATTTAAGTGATTTTTTTTCTTAATATGCAGAGATTCATCAACAAAAACACCTTATGGACGAGTTTGAAAAATATTCCTACAGATGGTTTGATCTTGGCAGTGTAATGGCATATTGTCTTACAGTATTGTTTAAATGTTTCACTTTGCTGACTTTTCTTTCCTTAGTATTTGTAAATTCATCAAACCTTTGACCTTTTTCCTCTTCTCTGCAGTACCCCAACACACAATTGTGCAGACACTGTGTACACAGAACATTTTTATTGAATGAATCATGTAACTTTTTTTTTAATTAATTTGGGGAACTAAAAGTGTTCCTTAATAAATGCAAAGTTTCTGAGGCATATTTTTTCTTTTTTTAAATTTGTGTTATATATATTTTTAAATTTTATTTATTCTAATTTGTTATATAGACAGCAGAATGTAATTCAATTCATATTATATAAATAGAGCACAATTTTTTGTCTCTGGTTGTACACAAAGTAGAGTCATAGCATTTGTGTTTTCATACATGTACTTAAGGTAATGATGTTTGTCTCATTCCACCATTTTTCCTATGCCCATACCCTTTCCCTTCCCCTTGCTCCACTTTGCCCTATCTAAAGTAGTCTGTTCCTCCCATGCTGCCCACCCTTCCTTATATCAGAGAAACATTTGGCATTTGTTTTTTTGGGATGGGCTTACTGCACTTAGCATTATATTCTGTAACTCCATCCACTTACTTGTAAATGCCATGGTTTTATTCTCTTTTAATGCTGAGTTATATTCTATTGTGTATTATTTATTCCACAGTTTCTTTATCCATTCATCTACTGAAAGGTATCTGAGTTGGTTCCACATTTTAGCTGTTGTGAATTGTACTGCCATTGATGTGGCAGCATCACTGTTTTTAAGTTTTTTGGGTAGAAACTAAACTAAACTCCATACTGCTTTCCATATTGGATGCACCAATTTGCAGTTCCACCAGCAGTGTATGAGTGTGCCTTTTTCACCACATCCTTGCCAACGTTTATCATGTCCTGTATTCTTGATTGTTGCTATTCTGACAGGAGTGAGATGAAATCTTAGTTTTGATTTGCATTTCTCTAATTGCTAGAGATGTTGAACACTTTCTCATATATTTGTTGATCAGTTGTATTTCTTCTGTGAAGTTTCTGTTCAGTTCCTTGGCCCATTTATTGATTGGGTTATTTGTTTTTTTGGTGTTAAGATTTTTGAGTTCTCTACATATTCTAGAGATTAGTGAAGCACATTTTTTTTAACTTCCTACAAATGACTCATCTAAATGAATAGAATCCATGTTTTCTGCCCAATTTGTTGATAGTCAAGAGAGCCAGAGGACCCTGAGCTAATTACCAAAGTAAAAAAAAATAAAATAAACTCAAAACATTTAAATATTTATGGATTAATTAAAATAAAATTCTCAGAATAGCAACAGTTGTCATATGGACAACCAAAAGGAGCATGAGTTGTTTCGTATTATGTAGGATTTTATTTGACTGAATCCTAACTTATTTTAGGATTGATTTAATTCTTTGTTCTTTGATCCTATGTTAAATTTTGTGTTTTAGAATGTACTTAAATTTATTATAAATAGTTTATTAGTCTTAATTACTTATTATACTTGAACTTTTTCTTTTTGCTTAGGTGTACTTTATCATATATTTTATTTCAGTATTATTTCTCATTAATGTTTATTGTTACCAGCATAAATGAAAGGAAGTTGTGAGTTATATAAGTAATATTGTAAGATATATGTTTGATTTGTTCATAGTCATTAAAATATGTGTAAATACCTATGATTGCATTAAGACTTACACTAGTTAATTTTGTTCTCTTTCAGTTTTTCTTGAAGATTAATTAGTTACGCCAGATATGCTGCTGTTCTTTACTTTGGGATTGCTTGTACATTTTGTGTTCTTTGCCTCCATCTTTGACATTTATTTTACATCTCCTTTGGTTCATGGAATGACTCCTCAGTTTACACCATTGCCACCTCCAGCAAGAAGATTAGTTCTGTTTGTTGCTGATGGCCTGCGAGCAGATTCACTTTATGAATTAGATGAAAATGGAAATTCAAGAGCACCATTTATAAGGTAAATTTGTCAACTGGTACAGTGATATCTCTTAGAAATATTATCCTGAGTTTTATTAAACAGTAAAATATCTTACTGTTTATCTTACATTGGGTGCAAAGGTAGTGAGATAAACAGTAAGAGAATATAAAGAGAATAGAGCACTTGTTCACTATAATGCCAGTTTTATCTATAATGTCTTATAGATTATCACTATAATGCCAATTCTTTTTTTCCGATGTTTTTATATTAACCAAGGTTAGCTTTGCCAATTCTTTGTAGGTGTTATGTTTACTATTGTAGAAGCTGATGTCATGTGAATTGACACATGTGCCTTAGGCAGGCACCTTAGCCAGGCATGGTGGTTCACACTTATAGTACTAAATACTTAAAAGACTGAGGTATGAGGATGGCTTAAGCTCAAGAGTTGGAGGCCAGTTGGGCAATACAGCAAGATACTGTCTTAAAAAAATAAAAAAAAATGTGGCCTTAGTTGCTTTTGTTAATGTGTCTTTATTTCCTAAACCTGGCTCATAGCTCATGGTATTATCTTTTTCTTCAAAAAATAAGACTGCAGGTTTTTGTTTTCATTTTTAAAATAATGACAGGTATAAATATTAATGAATTATTAATTATTGAGTGGTTTTGAAATATATTTTAATTTTTTGACCTATGAGGCTCCTAATAAATATTTTTTCTTTTTCTGATTAGTGGCAAACCCCTCAATAACCCTTCCTAATGCTGTTGTGGACAGATTAAAAATCAAAGTCAAGAAGAAATTTCTCTTAAAATACTCTACCTTCACCCATCCCTAACTGTCATCATTATTTTCTATCCCTTTACCCTGTTTTATTTTATTTTTATTATAGTACTTATAATTGTGCAAGTTCTACGAGGGCCAGGAATTACATGCCATTTTATCTCCAGTTTTTAGAATATAAACAGGCAATTATTTGTTGACTCCTGAAAGAAGGAATGATCTTGAATGCTTTGTTGAATTTCGAGAAACAAATATATAGTGGCTCAGGGACAGGTATAAATATAATATAATATAATAAATTATTATATTATAATAAATTATTATATTATAATAAATTATTATATTATATTATAATAATATAATATAATAAAGAATAAAAACACATAAATGAGCCACTTAGGTCAACAAGGAAATAGTAATAGGAAAATAAGAGCAGACTATGGTTACAGTATACAAAAATGTGTAATATTTGGATAATCTATTTGTGTGAATTTCCTAGTTTCCAAAGAAAAGAGATATATAACTTATTTCATTTTTTCCCCGTGGTCCTGGGGATTGAATGCAGTACCTCCCACATGCTAAGCATATACTCTATCAGTGAGCTATATCCATTTCCTAAGATTCTTAAGATACATATATACTGGTCGCTAAGAAAAAAGTTTTTTTTCTGGTAGCACTTGTTTCTGGTTTGGGTCTTATTAAAGGAAACGCTTAAAGTCAAAGGCTCAAACAGTTTATGAATTCTGCATTGCATGCCATTGTATATTTATAACTTCAGAAATCTTGTAACTTCTTCTAAAATGGTTTTTGAAAGATTTTATTTTTTGAAAATCTGATATAAACCCTGCATGGTGGTACATACTAGTAATCCCACTCACTCAGAAGGCTGAGACTGGACAAACAAGTTGAGGCCAGCTTTGGCAACCTAATGCATCACTGTCTCAAAAGAAAAGGGGAGGAGGCTGCAGATGTAACTCAATCGTAAAGTGCCCAGGATTCAATCCCTAGTTGGGCAGGGGTAGGGGGTGGAGAAGGTATAAAATGATCTAGTGAAAAATCTAACTAATGTTCTTGAATAGAAATATCCAGATTTCTTGATACTAACCCATTTGTTTTATTCTAGTTTTCATTGTATAACTCAAGAAGTGAAAGACTATTTCTCATATTATATTCAATCCAGTGGTTTTTAAACCATTTCCTTATTATGTATGGTTTCTGGTTTTATTGTGAGATTAGTCAATGTTTAAATAACATAAACCAATAATTATAAGTATTGTTCTTCAGAATATAATGATTTTAAAACATTATCAAGTGTGTTATTGGTATGTTTACTGTTATATAATTTGTTGCTCTGCTGGCCTTCTACCAGTAATAGCATCTAGCGTGGTTTTGCTTTCTTCTCACATTTTGTCAATCACTGTGATACAACTTAAATAATATTGATACATTTTAGCAAAAGAATTTCTTGTTTTAATCTTAAATAGGAATATAATTTAACTCCTAATTAGGATTATCACATTTCTTCTCCCCTTAATTTTTTTTTAACAAATTTTTAACTGTACAGAAGTTAAAGGATTACATATTGGATCAAGTGTGGTGGCACACACCTGTATCCCCACCTATTTGGGAGACTAACGCAGGAGGATGCAAGTTTGAAGCCAGCATGGCAACTTACCAATACCCTGTCTAAAAATAAAAATAAGAATGAAAATAAAGGTTGTAGCTCAGTGTCAGTGCTTGTGTAACATGTGCAAGGTCCTGGGTTTGAGCCTCAAAAAGAAAAAAAAAGTTTATATGATGAACAACTGTGTATCTTTAAGTTAGTTTAATATTATTTTTAACTTTTTAAATATTGCATTGTCTTCTAACATATTCAGGTAGAGATATGCATTTGCATATGCCCAAATTTTAAATATTTTTTCCTGAGCAATTTGAAAGTAATATATTGTGATACTTCATTCCTTAACACTTCAACATACGATCTCTTAAGAATAAGAACAGCTGAGTGTAGTGATGTACACCTATAATCCCAGTGACTTGGGAGGCTGAGGCAGGAGGATTCCAAATTCAAGGCCAGGCTCAGAAACTTAGTAATGCACTAAGCAACTTAGCAAGACCCTGTCTCAAAAAAAAAAAAAAAAAAAAAAAATTTAAAAAGGGCTGGGGACATGGTTCAGTAGTTAAGTGCCGTGGATTTAATCCCTGGTACAAAAACAAATAAATAAAAGAACAAGGACTTACTCTCAAATAACCACAATACTATCATAACATTAAATAAAATTTAACATTGAAATAATAATACTATTTTTTATCAATTATTTGTATGTAACAAACCATCATAGTGTTTTGTGGCTTAAAACGTTAGTGGTATATTTTTTCTTGTGATTCTGTTCTGTAATTGAGTGTTTCTTTGTCTCGCCTGGGGTCACTCATGCTACTGCAATGAGCTGGTGGGAGAGCTAGAACTAGGCTTGGCTGGGTTTTGAAAGATTCCTTTCCTTCTTAAATCTCAACTCTTGGTGTTTTCATGGTAGTAGGGATCAAACCAAGGTCAGCACCCTACCACTACTTTTGGTTTGATTCCTTCTGTATTTGTCTTATTTTTATAATGACTTACGAGTGTAATTAATGATAGTCTATGTTAACTGTTTGTCTCCCTTATCTTTTAGGAGTATCATAATGCATGAGGGCAGCTGGGGTATATCTCATACACGTGTGCCAACAGAATCTCGGCCGGGTCATGTAGCCATGATAGCTGGGTTTTATGAAGATGTCAGTGCAGTTGCCAAAGGTATTGTCTGTTTAGACAGTTTTATTAAATGAAACACTTATCATATAAATATTCCTTTTTTTAATCACTGAATTATGTCATAAAGTGAAAAGTCTATTTTCAGATACTTTTGATAAGTGTTTTTTAGCATGCTTTATTCACATGAACACACACTGATATTGATTCTGGAATTAAACTTTAGTTTTTCATCATCTTGAGTAGTTGGATGAATGTGTGGTTTTTCTAGAGTTAACTTTTAAGAGTTCAAAAGTGCGTTTATGTTTTAGAAAAAAGTTGAATATCTATTGTTAGATTTTTTAAAATAGTGATACAATATGCATAATATAAAATCTATTTTAGTTTTGTATTTGTTTTTCAATTAATGGTATTATTTGAAGACTACATCTTTGGGGGCTTCTTTTACCATGTAGTTATTACCCTTATTGCTTGCCTTTTTTCTCCATTACTTAAGGATGGAAGGAAAATCCTGTAGAATTTGATTCTCTTTTTAATGAAAGCAAGTACACATGGAGCTGGGGAAGCCCAGATATTTTACCTATGTTTGCCAAAGGTAAGAAAGCCATTGATTATATTTTCAGGTGACAAATAAATAATAAAACAGTATGTTTTTAAATATATTTCTGCATTTATTGGTTTTCAGACATGTTTTCTTATATTAAATCTCTCTGAAATAGGGATTTATATTACATTGGATAGATATGCCAGTTTCATTGACAGTGATCTTTCTTATATTTGAAATATTGGCACATGATACTGTTATATACTAGTTTGAATTCAGTGAAATGGTATAGATGCCTGTTATTTAACAACTCTCTAATCTTGGGTATGTTAGATAAACTTTGTAAGCTTATTTTCCTTTATATGTAATCTTTTTTTTTTTTTTTGGTACTGGGGATTGAGCCTGAGTCACTTAACCACTGAGCCACATCCCCAGCCTGTTTTTTTGTTGGTTTGTTTGTTTTTTTAGTTTTTTTTTGTGTGTGTATTTTATTTAAAGATCAATCTTGCTGAATTGCTTAGGGCCTTGCTAAGTTGCTGAGGCTGGTTTTGAACTCAAGGTCCTCTTGCCTCAGTCTCCCAAGCTGCTAGGATTATAAGTGTGCACCACCACTTTCGGCCTGTAATCTCAATAATTTCTACCTCATATGTTTGTTTTTAGGATTAAATTAGATAATTCATGTGAGACATTTAGCCACATATTTGTCACATAGCTTCATTATGATAATGTTGTTATATGGTTCATTAAATTTCAATAAATTGTTAAAAGAAATTAATAGATATTAAAATAAAGTTTTAAGGGTTAAAATTTATTATTCCTATTTTAATATATTAATTATGCCATATGTGTTGACATTTGATATATATGGCATTAATGGCTTTTAGCCTATTGGAATGCCATATATTCGATTTGCTAACTTGAAATATGACATTTGGATTTGTTGCATTTGTTCTTGTGCACAAATCTGCAAGTACTACGATATCTCTTGATCAGAAAATTTATTATATTATTTTCTAAAATCAGTTGGATGAACTTCATGTCATTACTTTCTTTTTGGTACCGGGGATTGAACTCGAGGGCACTCGACCATTGAGCCACATCCCCAGCCCTATTTTGTATTTAATTTAGAGACAGGATCTCACAGAATTGCTTAGTGCCTCACCATTCCTGAGGCTAGCTTTGAACTCGTGATTCTCCTTTCTCAGCTTCCTGAGCCACTGGGATTGCAGGCGAGCGCCATCACACCCAGCTATATCATTATCTTTTATGGAAAGCAGAATGATTAATTATTTCACTTAATGGAAAGATTTATAACATGATACTTAGCCATAGATATAATTATAATATTTGGAACTACTGAAGATTATTTTGTGTTCAGAAAGCAAAAATCTATATTCAGAATTTAATATATGATATTCATAGAATATTATACTGAGCAGGCCAAAATAGTTCAGCCATTCATATATTTCCCTTGTTGGGAAGCAGTTTAGGTTTTAGAGGAGCTAGCAGTGGTGAGAGCAGATTAAGGTGATATGCTTTACAAAGTTAAGCCATTACCCTGGCTACAGTTGATAGGGAGGACCAGTGCCTGTATCAAACATAGTATAAGAGAAATGTTCATTTCTCTTATGATAACTAGCTAACCCATTCAAGTCTCTTTATTTGGGATGTGTGAAGTAGAATGACTAAGCAGAGGAAGAGAGTCAATATAGCTGAACTGATATTGTAGATATTGTCATTACTTTGTTACTTCTCTCCCTTATGATCTGCAAGAGCCTGTCTATCCCAGAAATTAGTTTTAGATTCTTAATAAAATCTTGCAAGTCTATATGATTAATAATTTGTTGATCTCTTCAAACTGGCAATAAGCAGTTATTTATTCCCTTTTATTGAGAAAATACAGTCTATTAATAAGAAAATTGAAATATTTGAATTTTTTCTTGTTAGAAAGGTTCTTCATCTATTTTAGATTTTAACATCCTAAGAGGCACATATTTTTTGAATAGTTTGACCCTTAAAGAGAGAGAAACTGTTGCTTTTTGTTGTTGTTTTATTGCATATTAAAATGTTGACTTTGACAAATTGACTACTTACAAGTAATGTATCTGTAAAATTAGAATAAATTAGTAGGAGGACAAAAAATGTGAAAGTATATAGTGTATTCCAGGGCACATAACATAACTACATGCTAATTATTCCTCCCTTCTGTATTTACCATAAACAAAGTGCTTTCTAAAATATTTCTGGTTACTCATAAAAATCTTTAAATGGAACTGGATATCGATGTGCATACCTTTAATCCCAGCCCTTGGAATGCCCAGGCAGGAGGATCATTTGAGTCCAGGAGTTTTAGGTCAGCCTGGGTAACATAATGAGGTCTAGTCTCCAAAAATAAAAAATAAAAACAATTTAAATTCTTTAAATGATTATCGATTTTTTATGAGATTTATTAAAAAATTTATTTGTTCCCAATTTATTTTTTAGGTGCTAGTGGAGACCATGTTTATACTTACAGCTATGATGCTGAAAGAGAGGATTTTGGTGCTGATGATGCAACAAAACTGGATACATGGGTTTTTGATAAAGTTAAGGTAATGTTATTAAGTGATTAATTTACTAAATACATATTAACCAAAGATACTAGAAACTTGTTAGAATATATCTTTTTTGTTTGTTTGTTTTTTGCTAGTGTGAAGTTGAAAGTTCTATATTACAGCACACTACTTTAAAAAGACTGAATTTTAGGAAATTACACATTCTATAATAACCAAGAAGTTTTTAAAAACTAATTTAAAAATATACCCCTTTAAAATTCTGTGTTTCTTTCTGAAGGTAATATGAGTGCTAGATTATGATTCAGAAAAATGTGCCTTCTATTTCTAGTTTGGGGAATCATCCTAGCTAAATCTTCTTGATCTTCTGTCAACCTTAGAAACTTATCTCTTAAGGTGGTGGATCATGTGAGATTTGCAAAAGCATTTTGAAAACTACTGTTCAAATGTAAAGCATTGATAATAACAAAGCAGGTGGTATGTTTTTAAAAATTTGTATTTTAAAGGAAGGTAAGCAAAGATAGGAATTTATGAATTATTAAATACCTCTGAGTTTCTTTAAGTAATAAAGTTTAAAAACTATTTGATAGTGATAATTGTTAGTTTTGCCAATAATACTATAAACTTTATTTCTCAAAAATTATGTGAAAAATTTTCAGTTGTATTGTTAGTTCTCTCCTTCCTATTAGTCCATTGTTCTTTATATCCAAATAACAACTTCAGATGGATTAGAAGCTCTATTTGATTGGCTTTATTGGCACTTTCCTATGCTGCTAGTGTTGGTGATATGATAGTAAACAGAAAAAAAGAATTTGCCCATGACTTCTTCATAAAATATAGTAGATATATATAACCAGATAATGTGCAATCATCAACTGTGGTAAATGGTGAGAAGGAAAAATAAAGATAAAGAATAAATTTTTATAACATTTTAATTGAGACTGGACAGTTTTGGGAATGCCTTTCTGGAGAGTTTTGAGATATCCTTTGAAGAGATATAGGAAGCAAAGAAATGGATGGGAAGGAAGGAAAGATTAGTGTGGAACAGAGGACTTAAGGCTAACAATTTATATAAATCTTGGGCCCTAAAGTAAGAGCCAGTGGAAAGGGTTTAAGGACTTGAAAGAAAGAAGGTTAGTGCATCAGAAGCACTGATTGGGAGTGAGGTCTCAGGTGAGGCTAGAGCAAGAAGCAGGGTCTTATCAAGTCAAACTGTTTTCAAATCCATTCTATTTTCTACTCACTTTTTTTTTTTTTTTTGGACTGAGGATTGAACTCAGGACCACTCAACCACGTCCCCAGCCCTATTTTGTATTTAATTTAAACATAGGGTCTCACTGAGTTGCTTAGTGCCTTGCTATTGCTGAGGCTGGCTTTGAACTCGTGATCCTCCTGTCTCCACCTCCCAGGCCTCTGGGATTACAGGTATGCACCACTGCACCCAGCTCTCACTTTGTTTTTAAATTGTGGCAAAAATACACGTAACATAAAACATACCATCCTAACCATTTTTTTTATCCTAACCATTTTAAATACACAATTTAGTTGTGTTAAGTACATTCATGTTGTGCAAGCAACCTTCAGAACGTTTTCATCTTGCAAAACTGAGACTCTATAGCCATTAAATGACCTTTTTCCTTTTTCTCTCAATTCTTGGCAAACACCATTTTGTTATTATACATTTTGATATGACCACTCTAGATATTTCATTTCGTAAAAAGAGGAATCATATTGCATTTGTCTTTTTATAAGTAGAATAATGTCCTTCATTAGTTCATCCATGTTGAATCTACTCACTTTAAAACTCAGTTTATACATCATCTCCTGTTAGATCTTCTGTAACTTCTCTTGCTTGATCCTACTTCTACATTGACTTAGGTAACAATCCTCTATATCCTCTATTCTCTATTTTATCATGTTATACTGAGATTGTTGATATGTTACATATTCCCCTTCAATTCTCTCTTTGTATTATATTTTCTATATAATATATAGTAATATATAAAATATACATTGCATTTTATATATATTATTATTATCTATCAGGAAATTGTTTGGTACATAGTTACATGCATTAACTTAGGTTATATTCAGTCAGGTGTAATAGGAAAAAAATAATTTAAAAGTTTACTTCTGTCTCTATAAGACAGAAGTCAGCAGTGAGGGATTGAAGCCCTCTAGGATGCTACACAGTATCAATAAGATCCAGTCTCTGAAAGTTCTCCATTCCTAGAGCCCAAGTTATCTTCAAGGTCATCTCATAATCTAAGGTAATGTTGGAGTTCCAACTGTTATTTCAGTGTTTAGGCCATCTGTCAAAGGAATCAAAAAGGACCTTCTCTCCTACTGAATTATATTTATTTCAAAGAACCTAAGGTTCACATAGCTATTTGACTGAAATGTTTGATTCATATCTCATGGGTCACAACCACAAGGCATATCTAACTGTAAAAAAGGAGAAAATGTGTAGGTTTTAAGTTTTGAGAATTGCCGTGTCCCATGAAAATCAAAGGTTTTGACTCAAGTAAACAGGGAGACTATATGTTGGATGAGTCTTAAGGAGTCTCCCTCAATGCATAGTAAGTACTAGTTGAGTACAGAAATGAATGAATGCTTTAGATGCAAAATGGGCCAGTTGATCCTGCAATTTCTACATGTGGTAAAAATAAGAATTCATACCCAATTTGAATTAAATGTATGATATATGATATGTCAAGATCATTGTAATGTTTTGAGCAACCAAAAAATAAATAAATAAATAAAAGTGTGGGGAGAGTTCTCAAGAAAAATCAAAGGGACCTCAATAGAAGCAAAGGATCAGGAAGAGAGAGGAGGGGAAGGTAAAGGAAAATATTGGGGAATGATATTATTCAAATTATATTGTTATATCATGAATATATATGACTATGTAACAACAAATCCCACCATTATGTACAATAATAATACAGCAATAAAAATATAAATAAATAAAATAGTTTTACTTATGAGTATTAAAAAAAAAAGCCAAAGTAGAGGCTGATGGGTTTAAGAGATTATATTGAGGGGAAAGAAGCTAGGAGCACATTTTACTAATTATATCCAGCAGATCAACTTTTAAAAGACAATGGGAATCTAGCACTGAGAAACAGGTTGAGCTCTACCAGATTCATATCTCATAGCTTCCCAAATCTTCTGTCTATGTATGAATGAACAGCACTTTTTACATAGCTGATTACTTTTTACTAGTCATGAAATTAGAAATTTAATTCAAGTTAGTTGCTCAGTTTTTGCTTGTTAGCTTTCAATTATAAGTTTAGAATTTAACTCCTTTTTTTAAAAAAACTTGTTATTCCCATCTAGATTTAAAAGTTCTTAGGGTTTAGGAAGAATGTATAGGAAAGATGGGAAATAGCTGTATACTTTTGAGGAGTATGGTAGAAATTTACATATTTTAAAAATTTATTTTCTAAGACAGCCTTTTCTATTTATTTTTTTAATTGTGATATAAACCAGGGGCACTTTACCAATAGTTACATCCTAGTTCTTTATTTTATTTTAAAAATTTTGATAAGAGTGTCTGACTAAGTTACTGAAGGTTTGTCTTGAACTTGCAGTCTTCCTACCTCCTCCTCTCACGTTGCTAGAATTATATAGGTGTAAGCCTGGTTAAAAAAAAATTATTCCTACTTTTGATCAATTTCTCTAATAGCACTATATATATATATACACACACACACACACACACACATATACGTATATATATATATATATATATATATATATATATATTTAATACTTGTTTAGTTGTAGACAGACATAAAATCTTTATTTTATTTATTTGTTTTTATATGGTGCTGAGGATCGAACCCAGTGCCTCACACGTGCAAGGCAAATGCTCTTACCAATTGAGCTACAACCCCAACCCCCATTTATATTTTTAACGTTTATAATAATGAAGAATTATTTGAGAAAAAAAACTTCAATGCTTCAAAGCTTTGTTGAAAAATTAAACATTGCTTGTTGAAAGTTAACATATTCTAACCAGGTGTGGTACACATTCCTGTAATCCCAGAGACTTAAGAGGCTAAGGTAGGAGGATTGGAAGTTTGAGGCCAGCCTCAGCAACTTAGTAAAGGGCTGGGGATGTTGCTTGGTGGTTAAATGCCCTGGGTTAAATCCTTGATACAAAAGAATTAACATTTTCTACAGTTGGAGGCATTTATATAAACAACAATGATATATTTTGGTATAGCCAGTTGGCTTATTTAAAATTACTTAAAAGTACTTTCCATGGGTATTTGCATATATGTTCATGTGTATATGAGTATAAGATGAATCATTTGTCTTGGAAGGGGTCAGGAATCCAGTTTTTCATTATGCAATAAATAACTTTTGAATTTTATTTCATTAAGTGGATATTTTTCTATTATAGTGTGAAGAACAGATTCTTGCTGAGGTAAAAAAGTATTTAGGAATCTACTCACAGTGTTCTTAATGAGAGATTATGGTTGGACTAGAATGGTAGCGGACAGGAGAAAGAGAACTGGTTCAGCTCTGAATATATTTAAAAATAATAAATCAGTTCTATTTTTGGTTCTCGCTGAAATTTTTCTTCAACCTGTTATATTTTATTAAGTTGGGTGTGTCATAACAGTGATATTAAGTTTTCATAAAATTAAGATCTCCTTTCTGTTAGCTTTTAAATAAAATAAATGAACTAATTTTTAAACTGATTTGTTATATATAGGACTTCTTTCATGCTGCCAGAAACAATCAATCTTTGTTTTCTAAAGTAAATGAAGAAAAGGTAGTTTTTTTCTTACATTTATTAGGACTCGATACAAATGGACATGCCCACCGACCATCATCAAGGTAATTTTAATGTGTTCAATTTGATTTTTTTTGTTTGAGGGAAATCGCTATGCCCCTTGAACTTCTAAATTATTATGCCATTTTCTTTGTTTTTAAAACAAAGAGCTAATATTTTAAAGAACTAGTATAATATACAGCAAATTCTTAATTATATGAGATATAAGATGGGTGGTAATCCCAGAAGTTTGGGAGACTAAGGCAGGAGTATTACAAATTCAAGGCCAGCCTAGGCAGCTTAGCAAGACCCTGTCTCAAAAAATAAAAAGCATAAGAGATGTTACTTAATGGTAAGGCACCCCTGGGTTCAATCCCCAATACCAAAAAATTAAAAAATTGTAGAGTAGTTAAAATTACATGTGTTATAGTTGTGTTACTTGTAAAATAAGATCTCCTGTACATATTCTTTTCATTATCAAGGCAAAGAAAAATATTTCATTTAAAATATCTATATTTTAGAAATTTATCAATTAATCTTGAAATAAAAAGTATTTTTATGATGTTAATTTTGACATCACAAAAAAGATGTAATTCCTTGTGTGTTTCATTGCATTGTATCTAGCAAATAATGATATAAAGTTTTCTATATATTTTAATGGCAGTCTTTATATATAGTAGCAAATTTTTTTCTCACTTTGGCAGAGCATAAGAGAAAGAAATCTCTTTTATTCCTTATTTTGAATTTGTATTGATACATCTAATAAAAATATAAAGTATATTGAAATAACTGCCAGTATTGTTTAATTGATTGATATATTCAAAGAGAACATCTTTGTTCAACTGCTTGGAAAGATTAAATATAATTTGCTCAAGACATCTCAGACTCTTTTTAGGATGAAGACATTCTATCCTTGAAACAGTGACACTTATCTATTCTGATAATCAGAACAGCAGAGTTTATATTATCAGAGAATATGAAGTCATCGTTATCTCATTTGGGACCTAAAGAGTTCATTAAAATATATGTGCTAATCAGTACCTCTTTTTAAACCATCTTTTAAAACTGTTTCAGGTTCTTTTGTTCTTTAAAGGAGAAAAAATTATTTTTCATAATCTAAAGAGCTCTGATTTTTATTAAAGACTTAAAGGATTTTATGAATTCCTAACATTGAATGTAAAGAGTCCATTTTTGAATAAATGTTTTCTCTTCAAGTTAATTTAATTTGCTCTTCTGCTTCTTTATAAACAGGGAGTATAAAGACAACATTAAAATAGTTGATGATAGAGTAAAAGAAATTGTCTCCATGTTTCAAAATTTTTATGGAAATGATGGAAAAACAGCATTTATTTTTACCTCTGACCATGGAATGACAGACTGGGGTTAGTATCTCTTTAAGTGATATGTACCTTACAGGTAAAATAGTGAATAATGTAGTTTGTAGGTATCTTATAATGTTGAGAAGATTAGGTGTCTTATTTCATGTAAAGTGGCTAGCACAGAGTAGTCATACCCTTAAAATGTTAGTGGAAAAAGAATGATCTTATGTAAAGAATCTTTTTTTTTCCTAATTGTAAGAAGAAGTATTTACAAATGAAAAACTAGGAAAAAAAAAGTATGGAGAAGAAATATCTGGGGGCTGGGGATGTGGCTCAAGCAGTAGCGCGCTCGCCTGGCATGCGTGCGGCCCGGGTTCGATCCCCAGCACCACATACCAACAAAGATGTTGTGTCCGCCGAGAACTAAAGAATAAATATTAAAAATTCTCTCTCTCTCTCCTTTCTCACTCTCTCTTTAAGAAAAAAAAAAAAAGAAATATCTGTCTGCCTAGAATTTACCGTATGTGATGATAAAGGGGTGATATTAGGACAGTATTACTGAGGGGCCTAGAACTGCTAAAATTCTATCTGAAATAAGCCTGTGTTGCCTGTTAGACTCCCAAGGCAAAAGTACTGTGTACTCAAGAGAATGAAATAATGAATGTCAAGATGAGGTGTGGACCTCCAGATCACATGAAAGAATCCTAGTGTCTGGGTCTACTTTATGAAGGATTTCTTTTAGCTATACCAGCTTTATCCATATACCTTGCTGTTCTCTGCAGAAGCCTGTACTGCTTGCTCCAAGTCTGAGTGGTTACTCCCTCAGGAGCCCTCCCATGTTCTTTGTTCTCCATACTACTCTGGTAATAGGAACAGCTTCTCCGTCATTTCCTGTTATTATTTTAATTTTTCTTCTTTCAATAAGTTACTCAGCAGACATTCTTGTTTTATTATTGTTTTTGTTTTTACTTGTTTGTTTTCATGCTCTGACTTATGGGAATATTTCAAACTAATTGTTTTGAAAATCTACAAGCATTTAGAATGTGGTGGCTAGAATTGGTGATATATGGATTAACTCTTTAAAACAAGGTATTTTTAAAATAGTGATAAGTTCTTATATGTGTCTTATTACTCTTGATGCCTTATTTATAGGTTCCCACGGGGCTGGTCATCCTTCAGAGACTTTGACTCCTTTAGTCACTTGGGGAGCTGGAATCAAGTATCCCCAAAAAGTATCAGCTCAACAATTTGACGATGAGTTTTTGAAAGGTATAAGTATTTGTTTTTATCATTTTATAAACATTATATTTGAAAGTAAAACTAAAATTAACATTTTGAAATAATTTTTTAATAATCACTTTTCAAATTATAGGCTTTTTTCTATATCCAAATGATTTTGAGAAAACTTTATTATAAATAATATGTTTTTTATTAAAGAGAGAGAGAGAATTTTTTTTTAATATTTATTTTTCAGTTTTTGGTGGACAGAACATCTTTATTTATTTATTTTTTTATTTTATGTGGTGCTGAGGATCAAACCCAGTGCCCTGTGCATGCCAGGTGAGCGCGTTACTGCTTGAGCCACATCCCCAGCCCTGTTTTTTTTTTTAATTAGTTACACATGACAGTACAATGATCTTGACATATCATACATTTGAATCAAATGAGGTATAATTTCTCATTTTTCTGAGTGTACAGGTTGCAGAATCACATTGGTCATACAGTCACGTATATACATTCAGCAATACTAGTGTCTATTTTATTCTACTGTCCTTCCCTTCCTCCCTTCTCCTTCCCTCCCCTCCCAAAACTTCTCTCTACCCAATCTGATGTGACACACTTCTTTTTTTTTCCCCCTCACATCATCATACATGTATTCTGTATAATGATGAGGGTCTCCTTCCATCTTCCGTGCAATTCCCCTTCTCCCTCCCTTTCTCTCCCACCTCTCTTCCCTATTTAGTGGTAATCTTCTCATGCTCTTCTCCCTATCCCATTTTCAGTCACCCCCCTTATATCAGAGAAGACATTCAGCATTTGTTTTTTAGGGATTGGCTAACTTCACTTAGCATAATCTGCTCTAATGCCGTCCATTTCCCTGCATATGCCATGATCTTGTTATTTTTAGTGCTGAGTAATATTCCATTGTGTACAAATGGCACATTTTTTTTTTATCCATTCATCTATTGAAGGGCATCTAGATTGGTTCCACCGTCTATCTATTGTGAATTGAACTGCTATAAACATTGATGTGGCTGTGTCCCTGTAGTATGCTCTGTTTAGGTCTTTTGGGTATAGTCGGAGAAGGAATAACTGGGTCAAATGGTGGTTCCATTCCCAGCTTTCCAAGGAATCTCCATACTGCTTTCCAAATTGGCTGCACCAATTTGCAGTCCCACCAGCAATGTACAAGTGTACCCTTTTCCCACATCCTCACCAGCACTTATTATTGTTTGACTTAATAATGGCTGCCATTCTTACTGAAGTGAGATGGTATCTTAGAGTAGTTTTAATTTGCATTTCTCTGATTGCTAGAGATGGTGAGCATTTTTTCGTGTATTTGTTGATTGATTATATATATCCTCTTCTGAGAAGTGTCTGTTCAGGTTCTTGGCCCATTTGTTGATTGGGTTATATATTTATTTATTTATTTTTGGTGTTTAACTTTTTGAGTTCTTTCTATACTCTAGAGATTATTAGAGCTCTATCTGATGTGTGAGGGGTAAAAATTTGTTCCCAGGATGTAGGCTCCCTGTGTACCTCACATATTATTTCTCTTGCTGAGAAAAAACTTTTTAGTTTGAATTCGTCCCATTTGTTGATTCTTGGTTTTAACTCTTGTGCTATAGGTGTCTTATTAAGGAATTTGAGGCCTGACCCCACGTGATGGAGATTAGGGCCAATTTTTTCTTCTATTAGACACAGAGTCTCTGGTTTGATTCCTAGCTCCTTGATCCATTTTGAGTTAACTTTTGTACATGGTGAGAGAAAGGGATTCAGTTTCATTTTGTTGCATATGGATTTCCAGTTCTCCCAGCACCATTTGTTGAAGATGCTATCCTTTCTCCATTGCATGCTTTTAGCACCTTTGTCTAATATAAGGTAGTTGAAATTTTGTCGGTTGGTCTCTATGTCTTCTATTCTGTACCATTGGTCTACCAGCCTGTTTTGGTGCCAGTACCATGCTATTTTTGTTACTATTGCTCTGTAGTATAGTTTAAAATCTGGTATCGCTATACCGCCTGTTTCACTCTTCCTGCTTAGAATTGCTTTAGCTATTCTGGGTCTCTTATTTTTCCAGATGAATTTCATGATTGCTTTTTCTATTTCTGCAAGGAATACCATTGGGATTTTGATTGGAATTGCATTGAATCTGTAAAGTGCTTTTGGTAATATGGCCATTTTATTAATATTAATTCTGCCTATCCATGAGCAAGGTATATCTTTCCATTTTCTAAGGTCTTCTATTTCTTTCTTTAGGGTTCTGTAGTTTTCATTGTATAGATCTTTCACCTCTTTTGTTAGGTTGATTCCCAAGTATTTTATTTTATTTTATTTTTTTGAGGATATTGTGAATGGGGTAGTTTTCCTCATTTCCATTTCAGAGGATTTGTCACTGATATACAGAAATGCCTTTGATTTATGGGTGTTGATTTTATATCTTATATCCTGCCACTTTGCTGAATTCATTTACTAGTTCTAGAAGTTTCTTGGTAGAACCTTTTGGGTCATCCTTGAAGATTTTTAATAGTAAGTCAGTATACTATCTTAAACATTTGGGGTTAGTAATCATAGGAATTTCAAAGCTACAATGTAAAAATATTTTGTAAGCCACTGCCATCACAGAAAGAAAACGAACAAAAACAAACTTGTATTGACTACTGTGCTATCAGTTGCCTTAGTAACTCTCTGAAACAAGATTGGAATGAGTTGTGGTCATACAGATAGTCATCATTGTACTTTTTAAATTCTGTCTTTCCTTCATTAGACAGTGTTTTAAAACAATTTTTTCTAAATGAGCATCTAAAAAGCTTAATAAATCACAGAGAACATCAAATATTTGCTTTTTGGTTATTCTTTTGTTTTGTTTTGTTTTGTTTTTATTTGGTATGGGGGATTGAACTCAGAGGCACTCAATCACTGAGCCATATCCCCAGTCCTATTTTGTATTTTATTTAGAGACAGGGTCTCCTGAGTTGCTTACCACCTTGCTTTTATAAATTGACACTGGCTTTGAACTTGCAGTCCTTTTGCCTCAGCCTCCCACGCCTCTGGGATTACAGGCATGCGCCATGCCTGGTTTCTTTTAAAATTCTTTTTAAGAAACATGTTCCTCTGCCTTTTAAGCAACTTTTTTTATTCATACTTGTCTTAAAAGAGAGTTATTTCCAGTATCTGTATTTTTCCATGAAGTATTGAACACTCCTAAAAATCAAGTGGTTTATTCTTTTTTTGAATCTTATCTTGTGTCTGATTGTGTCTTTCAGAATGGAGACTAGAGTCCTGGAAGAGGCAAGATGTCAATCAGGTAGGTGTCTATTTCAATTTAATCATGTTTAAATTTAATTTTATCTCCTATAAGAAATTTGGATTAAAAATATGAAAAATAGAACTTTGCAGTAGCCTCATCTTGGGAATGCAACGATGTGATCTGTGCAGACAAAACTCCAACTGACAGTAATTACCACTTTGTCCTATCTTTCACTGGTGAGAAGGGAAGCTAAGAGCTATTTCATCCACTCCAACTGGCAGCTCAGTGAAAAACACAAAAATAGGAATTGACTTTACAGCAAATGACTATAAAGATATTGAAGTGGGTGAAATGTCAGATAAAGAATTCAAGAGAATGATTCATGAGGTCCAAGAGAACACAGGAAAAACAACTGAATCAATAATGTCAGTACATAAGAAAATTTCAGTAAGAAGATGAAGATATTTATTTTAAAAAGCAAAACAGAAACCTAGGAAATGAAAAACACAGTAAATCAAATAAAATACTCAGTTAAGTTTTTCTAATAGAGGAGCTCATGCTGAAGTCAAAATCTCAGAGCTGGAAGACAAAGTGGGTGGCCTTGAACATTCAGACAATTAAAAGAAAAGAAGTAGCCAATTATAATGTTCAAGAACTCTGAGATCACATTAAGATGCCAAATTTAAGAATTATTGGAATTAATTGGTCATAACTTTCCTAGCCTTGTATTTGTATACATGACCAGGGTAACTGCACATTATGTAGGAACAGAAGAGTGGGAACCGAATAGAATAGGTTATTTATGTGTATATATTCTATCAAAATACATTCTATTCTCATGTATAATTAAAAATAAAAATAAATAAGCAAAATCGAGAAGAAAACTATAGTAACTAAAAAAATAAATTGTGGCAATCAAAGAGAGTTGTGAGATGCAGGCTAACAAAATGGGTAACCTCTGCAGGGAAATAATAATACAGAAATTTTTCTGACCTTTTGATTGAGATGAGCATCCAGATAGAGGATGCATTCAGAACTCAAAATAGACAAGATCAGAAAAGAACTTCTCCATAATACATTATAATGAAAATGCCTAACTTACAAAACAAGGATAGAATTTTAAAGGCCCCAAAGAAATGAAAATCACAGTAAATCATCAGGTCATAGAGGCAAGTCAATCAGAATTACTCCTGATTTCTTAGCACAGACTCTAAAAGCCAGAACTTATGTTCTAGATTCAAGAGAAAATTGCTGTCAACCAAGATTGCTATATCCAGCAAAGATATCCTTCAAAATTGAAGAAGAAATAAAAACATTCCACATTAAGCAGAAAGGAATCTATGACTACTAAGCCACCACAAAAATACTGAAGGAAGTACTGCACACAGAAGAAATCAAAAACAAACTCCAGAGCTCACAAATGAACAAATCTCATTTGAAGAACAGCTCAGCAAATGATAAACAGGACCAAATTAAACATGGAAATAAATCAAAATTGTATGAATTAATAAATATCTCACTATGGTAGCATTGAATATCTCAGCTCTCTAATTAAAGGTATAGGCTGGCAAAAGGCATTAAAAAACAAGACCCAAGTATATGTTGTTTGCATAAGACTCACCTTACAGGCAAAGACTGGCCTACACTGAAAGTGAAAGGATGGAAATTGATATACCATGCACATGGATCCTAAAACACACAGGAGTAGCTACTCTGGTTTTTGTCAAAGCAGACTTCAATCCAAAAATTAATCAGAAGAGACAAAGATGGTCACTTTATACTGGTAAAGGACATACTCCAACAAGCAGGTACAACAATAGTAAATATTTATGCCCCAAATGGTGGTGTACCTATTAATATAAAAGAAACTACTTGAATTAAAGCCTCATATAGACCCCAATACAATAATACTAGGTGGTTTCAACATACCTTTCTCATGAATAGATAGGTTATCTAGTTATAAACTCAGTTAAGATTCCTCAGGCCTTAAAAATATTATAAATTAAATGGACAACAAACATCTATAGAACATTTAATGCAACAACAGTCAAATATGCTTCTCAGCAACTCATGGAACCTTCTTTAAAATAGACTGTATTTTAGGTCACAAAGCACTTAGAAAGAATAAAAAAATTGATATAATTTCTTCTATAGATAATAATGGAATGAAATTAGAAATCAACACAATAAAACCCTATAGAAACAATATAAACACATGGATATTGAAAATACATGTTTGAATGTTGAGTGGCTGATAGAAGAGATCAGAGGAAAGATTTAAAAATTCTTAAAATCAAATCAGAGTAGTGGTACAATATACTAGAATCCTGAGACACTGTGAAAGCAATTCTAAGAGGAAAGTTTATAGCTATGAATGCCTACTTCAGAAAAATCAGATCCCAAATAAAAATGACTGAGTGATGCATCTCATTGGCCTTGAAAAATAATTAACCAGTTCCAAAATCAGTAGAAGGAAGGAAATAATTCAGATCATTACCAAAATCAGTGAAATAGAGAATAAAAAACATACAAAGGATCAAGGAAATGAACTGATTCTTTGAAAAGATAAACAAGGTTGATAAGCCAAAAATGAAGACAGGAGACTTTCAAATTAATAAGATTAGACATGAAAAAGGAGAAATCACCATAGACATCACAGAAATCCAGAATATCATTAAGGACTATTTTGAAAACTTACACTAATAAATTGGAAAATCAAGAAATGGATACATTCCTAGACACATACAGCCTGCCCAAATTGAATCCAGACATCATAGAAAACCTTATCAGAACAATAGCTAGCAATAAGATAGAAGCAGTAATAAAAAGCCTGCCAACAAGAGCTGTGGCTGTGTCTTAGGGTAGTGCACTTGCCTGGCATGTGTGAGGCATTGGGTTTGATTCTCAGCACTGCAGATACATGAATAAAATAGAGGTCT